ATAAAGCAGCTACTTAGACCCTGTGATTTTGCCATTAGAACAGGTTTTGTTTTGACATCCAAGAGCTGCTCCAACATCTCGAAGTTGGCAGCAGGTCCAGTCATCTTCTCTTAGGTCTGCAAATTTTCCATTTGGCTCCAGTGCAGCTTCTTAAAGCAAAAAGCAAAAGTTACTCATCAGTAGTCAGAAGAGGCAGATCAGAGCCCTGAGCTACACCAACAATACAGTGAAATTCAAGCTTAATGCCCCTCAGATTAGAATCACCAAGATTCAGATTCAAAATATTTTCTGCATGCCAAGCAACAGAGAACTGTAAAGAGAATCAACTCTTTCACCTCTACCCTCTTGGGTCACAGAAGATGCTCAAACCTGATGTATCAGCTGCATCCTGGCACTCAGGACTGACCCATCCCAGCACTGTTACATTAAAAACAAAACACAGCCAGGGCAGCAGCAGCCAGGGAACAGCACAGGGCAGAGCAGGGGGAAAGGGAAGATGGGCACCAGCACTTTGCAGTGCAGAGCTGCACGTCTGCCTCAGCAAGGAATCAGGTTCAGCACAGATCACTCCTACATAAGTGACAGCAGCGAGCTCTGAAAGCTGCACTGCAGCAGCCATGTCCTCCTGGAAGAGCTCCAGACTTAATATAGCAAAACTGGGACCTCAAGCCAGCACAACACTCACTGCCTGCAAAGTTTAAGGATTCTTTTACAGTACCTGAGGATCAGACTTCAGTTTTTCTTTTTAATTACTCAATGAGGTAGCTTAAGGTTATCAAGTCTACTAGTAGGTACCCCCACGAAATCAAATAATTACTTAAAACTCAGCAGATTTGATATAAACACATGTAAAAAAAATCACCCAGTCTTCTAGAGCAAACTTCACCTTTGGTTTGTTCCATGCAGAGCAGACTACAGCCAGCACAGCAACTAGCACCACCCTGCTGAAGTCCTGCTCTGCTTGGATTTCCTCTCTGATTCTTCAGTCATCACCTTGGTCAGGCAAAAAGGCCCAGGTGCTAATACTAAAAACTAGAATAATGTTTTCTGATTCTAACAGGCCATTTATGCCAAGCTTATGAGTGCTCTCTCATCAGGTGCCACTGTTTTGAACAGAAATACCAAGATGTACTTAAAGCAACATCGCCTTTGGTTTATTTCCCTTTCAGTAAAAAGTGTTGCCCTGTATGTTTGAAAAATAAAGCTCTGAAACAAAGAATCTGCTGTTTCATTAAAGATTCTGTTAAAATGTGGTGTACAAATTCCATCAGATGTGTTGAACTCCACTGATGCTGTTGTGCCAGCACCAAAGGGAGCAGCAGAGTAGTGCTCCTGCAATCACAGCACCAACAAAACAAATCCTCTGGTGTGCTTTTGTTGTTTCTCAGACTGCAAATGCAAAGATTTCCAACAGAAATCCTGGTGGGCTTGGCACAAATAGACTAAGTCTTGTCCACCAAGTTTTCAACTTTAATTTTAATTATGCTTCCCTGCCTTCAATTTAAGGAGTCCAAACTTAACACAACCTAGCAAAAAAAGGGGCAAATTCACCCCAGTCAGGAACTGGGGCCACTCTTTACCTCCTGATGTATGCAAGCCTAAGCTTTTTAAAAATACTTAGATTTATAAAATTATGATATACCTTTGCAAAGGCTCCAACATTCATTGCTCTTTTCCTGACAGGCTTTGTACAATTACACTTCCTAGCAGGTTTCAGTAGTGCCTTTCAGGCAAACCAGTCCCTGCAACACGTGATGCTGTCAAAAAAGGTCGTGAGATCTCCATCATAAAGATAAGGATGTAAGGCTTCAAGCACGTGAACACTTCCAGCCAACCTTCAAATTACCTACATCTACCATCCACTTAAAAAAAAACCTACACTTACAACTTGACATCACTATATACTGTGACTGAAACATCCCAGGAAAGGTGAGCTCAGTTCACAGGATGAGAAGATGCTACCATTAGCATCATGGAAGTATCACAGAGCCATCTAGCAAAATGGTTTGGCAGATTCTTTACAGACAGAGAATAAGAAAAGTGAAAATTTGGTTGAAGGGAAAATATCAATAAAACTCTGAAAAGCAGTTTTTGTCTGTCAACTTCTGCACTTCCCTTTATGACATGAATCTAACAAGCTTTGTTAGCTTAAAAAAAAAATCCAACACACCCCTCTCCACGTTTGATTTATGGCATCTGGAAGCATCAGCTTCCAAAGCTTGATAGCAGTGTCCAGATTTCCTAAATCTGTCACTCCTGGCTGTGAGAGCAGGGGCTTGCCAAAAATAGCACACACTGGAAACATGGCGGCTCGCTGCAAATGCTGCTTTCCCCCGCTGGTGGAACAAAAAAATCCTTTTTTTGGTAAAGACTACTTATTATACGCATGCAAGCCTTAACACAGAAGGTCACCAGGTAAGCGCGCTGAGAATGAGGAACGCGGTAGAACATCCAGATCGACACTGGGAGACACTGGAAGATGAATCCAAACCTTTTCTCTGGGGTTTCTCCAGCACGTACATCTGGGGCCTTACAGGATGCTGGGAAGTCTCATCACGAGCACTACTTCGCATTTAATTCTCAGCTTAATCTCGGATTCAGCCAAGGTCATGCGGTAAACCAGGTTAAGATCCACGCTCTCCTGCTCGAATTGTAACTCCCTTCGCCCACAAAGTTACACCAAGGGAGGCACGGGTCGAGCAGCCAGCACTGCCCCTCAATCCGCAGCTACCCCTCCCGGTGAGCCGGGAACACCGCGGGCTCGGGGTGGGCTCCTCCCCGGCCCCACCTGCCCGAAACAAAACCCAAAAGCAGAGGGCGAAAAAGCCCCCAAGCCTGGAGAGCCGAGAACAAAGCTCGACCCGCACACCTCGCCTCGCACAATGCGGGCCCGCCAGCGGCGATCCCCCGCCGCCCCCCCTGCCCCGCACGGCTCCGCCGGCAGCTCCGAGGCCGCCGCGGCACCGGCAGCTCGGGAGAAGCCTGCGGAGCGCGGGGCAGGCGGGAGGGCGCCACAAAGCGCCGCGGGGACCGGGCGGGATGAGGCGGGCGCCAGCAGCGCCGTCCCGCACGGCCCGCGGCCTACTGAGAGCCGGGGGCGCCCCGGAGCCGGGGCGGTGCGGGCGGCCCGCGGTGCCCCCGGGAAGGCGCGCCCGCGCCGGTGCCTCCCCGCGGCCCCCACCCCCTCACCTGCGGGCAGAGCGCGACGGGAGCGGAGGCGCCGCTTCACCACAGGGCCCGGCGGACGAGAAGCGCCTCACGCAGCGGCGTGCTCTGCCGCCGGCTACATATATCCGGCGCGCAGCCTACCCCAACGGGCGCGGCCCAGCCACTCAGAGAGCGGCGCTCGCCTCATTCGGATGCCGGTTGGCTCACAGCCGTGAGGAGGCGGGCGGAGAGCTGAGGGGCAGCTCAGCCAGCCAATCATGCGGCGGCGCTCCGCGGGGCGGTGAGAGTGATTGACACGTGGGCGAACCAATAGGCGGAGGGCGACTGCTGATAGATTTGCGCTTTGGCCAATGGGACGACGGTCCCCGCGCCAGCAGGCGCGCGCCGGACGCCGCAGTGTGGTTGAGCCGCACTGCAGCGCCCTTGAGAAGGTGCTGGTAAACCCCGTTATAGATGGGGCGGGCCCCGCGGGGCGCGGCGGCCAATGGGAGGGCGCGGTGGGCGCTGACGGACAGGTCCCCGCCGCGGCTCTTAAAGGGGCAGGCGGCCGCCACGCGGGGCGGCGTCCCGCGCTCCGCAGCGCCCCCTGCTGGCGGGAGGGAGGGAGGCGCTAACATGGCGGCGGGCGCCATGTGGGGGCTGAGGGGCACTCAGGGCCCGGCTGAGCGCTGCGGGCTCCCGGCACTGAACGGGCAGTGGCCGCCCGCTTTGGCTCTGTCTCCACAGCTGCTTAGGGCCCAGCTGTCCCACGCACCTGAGGGAAACCCCCAGTGCGGGTGGGCAGGAGCTGCTGCTCACCCCAAGGCGCCTCCATCACACACAGCCCGGCCGCTCACGCCAAGCTGAAGGTGGTGGTCACCGGTGGTCACAGGTGGTCACTGGCGATCACAGGTGGTCACCGGTGGTCACCGGTGGTCACTGAGCCCTGCCCAGCCCGGGAGGCTCATCCAGCTGCTGCTTTTCCCTCACAGCTTCTGAGCAAAGCAGACTCGGCATCGTCTGCCCCAGAGGAAAGACAATGCAAGCAGGAGCGTTTTCTAACGCACCTACAAAGGAGGAGAAGGGCCTGGAAGTTCTCAGATCCTTTTGCTCACCAGCAGGTGCTGGTGCAGGGACCCCGGCGAGCAGCAGGGAATGGGAGCAGGCAGCAAGCCACAGCTAAGCAGCTTCCAGGCAGCCATGGCTTTCCATTTGTTTGTGTCCCATCCCACACGTATCTGTGACATGAAGCACTCGGAGATAGATTTCACCCTACAAAAATGACTTCCTGCCCACCGCCACATCCCTGGGCGCTGCACAAACCCCTGCCTGGCATGCCTTGCAGCAAGGGATACAGAGGGGATTGGCGTGGGGCCACCCTCAGCATTAATATCCTCCCCCAATACCTCCTGGCTATTTTTAGCCTAAGCCACGCTGCAATCTGCCAGTTCATAAATCAGCACTGCAGACTTTTACAAAGTTTAACGCGAGCCCAGTGACCCAGCACAATAGCCTGCCCCGAATATACTCTGCCAGGGGGATCTTGGACATACAAAGCAGACACATCTTCAGGGACCAGGACCCTTCTTCTCAACTTGCTCTGCATTAGAGACTCCCCCAAACCTCCTGCCCTCAATATCCACTCTACTGGTGCTCTCCCAAGCCAATAAATTTCAGATTTTCTCAAAATCTGAAAAAACAGAGGCGAACGAGCTTTCTTTAGCAGCCCGGCCCCATCCTCATGGCTGTGCCCACCTCCCTCCCGCAGCCATTTGTCCGTGCCGATCCCTGTCCTGGAAGCGAGCAGAGCTCCCCTTTAGGAGCTCCACACGGACCGGCCACCACCCCAAGGCTGTCCCCCGCTCCTTCCTTCGGCCTCCGTGGCATCCCCGCCTCCCGAGGCCGCGGCACGGCCCGCCCCTTCCTCCGCCATCGGGGAGCCGGGAGCCGGGAGCGCGGCTCCGCCATGCCGGTGGGTGCGGGCCCGAGAGCGCCTCTGGGGCCGGGGGACGCGGCGGGGCGGCGGGGCAGGGAGGGCTCCCCGACCCTCGGTGCTCCCGCAGGCCCCTGGCTCCCTGAGCCTCGGGGCTCTTTCAGACTCCGGGGCTCTTTCAGCCCCCCGCGCTCCCCAATCTCCTGAGGGTCCTCCAGCCCCCTGAGGCTCCTCCAGCCTCTGGAGCTCCCCCAAACCCCCCGACTCTCCCGGTGCTCGAGGCTCCCCCAGCCCCCAGGGTTCCTCCTGTCCCCGATGCTTCCCTAATTCCCCAGGGCTCCCCCAGCCCTCCAAAGCTTCCCCAGGTCCTGCAGCTCCCCCAAACCCCAGGGCTCCCCCAGCCCTCCAAGGCTCCCCCAAACCCCAAGGCTCCCCCAGCTCTCCAAAACTTCTCCAGATCCTGCAGCTCTCCCAAACCCCAAGGCTTCCCCAGCCCCTAAAGGTCCCCCAGATCCTGCAGCTCCCCCAAACCCCAAGGCTCCCCCAGCCCCGAACCCCAGACCATCACCCACGCCCACGGCTCAGCCACAGAACGGCAGCATTGATTGGACTCTCCTTCCCCCCCTGCCTGCACACTTCCCCAAAGCACCCAGGGCCTTTGGGAAATAAAACCGAAGAAAATGGCAATTACACTGAAAAAAAAAACTTTATCCCAAGATCCTTCCTGGGTGAAAGACCCCAAGAGGGTTTTAGCTTCACAGTGGCAGGGGGCACAGGGTGGTTATGAATAGAAGGAAATATGGCTTGCAGATAACATGTGCAATAGTTTTACTTTTCTTTTTAAAGGAAAGTAAAAAGCACGTGCAAGAGAAGGAAATCAGGGCCCATCTGGTGCCAAAGGTTGAAGGCAGTGGTTAGTTACAGGCAAACAGTGTTTTGTTGACCCAGTGTTGCTCACAAGTAGGGAAGTTACTGCTGGGGCCCCAGTGGAGTGGAAGGATGAAAAACCAGCACTAATGGTCCTTAAATTTCTGTTTTGCTTTTATTTTTATTATGTTGGGGACCAGAAGCCTTGTAGACACAAGAAAAATAGGGTGGGGAAGCACTGAAAACCTCACAGGCTTAAGTCAGGATGGCGGGTAGCTGGAGGCAGGAGATTTGCTTCTCCTTGTGTCCCCTGGACAGGCAAAGTCCAGCAGAGGCCATGGAGATGGCCATTTGTGCTGGCTCTGGAGGTAGAGCCACAATCTCCAAAGGTCTCTCAGGATTATGCTGTGAGGGACAGCACAAGGAGCACCAAGAGTTCTCAGTTTTGCTGAGCATCCCTTAGTGGTGTGTGTATGGACCTTCTGACCTGGGAGGCTTTGAACCTCCCCAAGGAAAAAGGCAAGTGTGGAGTTTCATGGTGCATTTCCAGCTGGGCTCTCCCTGACCCCTGGACTGCCTCTTTTCTTTCCAGAAACACGAGTTCTTCGTGGACATGACCTGTGAGGGCTGTTCCAATGCGGTCACCCGTGTCCTGCACAGGCTGGGAGGTGAGTCAGTGCTGGCAGTGCCCTGGGGCCCTCCATCCTGGAGGATAACGCTGTAAAGTTGAAAGTTGGAAACTTCTCCTTGCTCTGCTCTGAGCCTGCCCCTTAGCTGGTAACAAGTCACTGTTGTTTGCAGGTCTGTGACCCTTGAGGAGTGTCCAGGGAGGGAGGACCTGCCATGGCTGCAGGTGGCTCTGCGTCACCAGGGCCTCACCCTGATCCCTCTGGAAAGGACCCTGGCAGACCCCTGCTCAGGCTGCCAGGGGGAAGGGAGGTGAATGTCCTGCCTGGCCTTGTTTCCAAGGAGCCCTGGGGTGTCTGTGGTGCTTCTCAGATGTGTCATCAGCAGGCACAGGGAAGAGCTGCTGAGCAGAGCCTTTGGTGGTTGTCTGTTTTGCCTATTTTTAATACCACCTGGAAAATTATAAAAATTATAACCCATGTCTTCTGTTTGCTGGCATTTCCAAGAGAGAAGGATCTGGCCTGCACTCATCAGTTGTGAGGAGCTGCTCCCCTCCGAGGGAGAACAGCTTCCAGTGACCAAGGCAAAGGCCTTGCCACTTCTACCCCATTACCAGGCTGACAATTCCATTTTCTCTGTGTATGGTTGTCAGCACCTCCATCACTCTTGAACAGGCCAGCCAGTATCAGCCTCAGTGATGATGAGGCATAGCTCTCAAAGCTGATACATACCTACAGGTTTTGTGAAAATACATAACTGGATAGAGAGTGCATGTCCAGTTCCTCTCACTGGGATGAGAGTGGCTCACCTTTATTAAATCCACATGGTAAAATGTCTTTTCCCTTCTTTTACTTCCAGCTGTTTCATGGTACTACCAGTTTAGGCATCTTGTCCTGAGCCTGTCCTAACCCTACTCACACTAAACCAGAGCACAGACTGATCTGGATGGAAATTTTAGTGGTTGGTTTGAACTCAGCTTACTCAGGTTCCTACATGAGTGATTGTGTTGATCCAAGGTGGGGTGAGCAGATTAAAGCAGTTGAGAGACTGGTACGTGATGTGAAGCTAAAGCAGATTTGACTTCCTTCACAGCACTGCTGGCAGGACAGCAGGTTGATGTTGTTGGCTGGTGGTGGTATCAGAGTGTGCTGGCAGGAGATAAATGTCCATTTGACTGATGCCCTGGGGAGCACAGCTGTGTGAAGGTGAGCTTCCCCTGTGCTTACACCATTTGGCTAATTCTAACTCTGCAAAATGTTTTTCCTCGTAGGTGTCAACTTTGATATTGACCTGCCCAACAAGAAGGTGTACATTGACTCAGAGCACAACGTTGACACCCTGTTGGAAACCCTCAAGAAGACTGGAAAGAATGCTTCCTACCTCGGGGAGAAGTCTGCACAGTAGCCTTGCCTGGTGTGAGGAGCTAGGTATATACCAGCTGCAGCAGTGTGAAAGAGAGACATCTGAGCTTTTTTCCAGCTCTCCCAGTAAAACAGCCATCTTCCTGGAAAGGACAGATTTAAAAAGACCTGCAGGTCCAGCTTCAGCAAACCCCTCCTGTCAGAGAAGCAGCTGAGCACACACAGGGACCCCTTAGCTGTTCTGCACAGCCTGTGTGATCCCAGCCTTGGCTGTAGTGGAGAGGTAGAACACAGCCTCTGTGCCATTCCCGGATTAACCTAGAGTTTGCCAGAGCATTCTGTGCATGAAAACAAATCCCAGACACACTTAACAGCTGGCCAGAGAGAGTGGTGGGCCCCAGCAATGGCAGGGAGGGTGATGGGACACAAAGAGCCCTTTGGGTGTGAGGTGCTGTGGGCTGGCTCTTAGCACAAGGACCTCCAACAGCTGATTCTCCTGATTAGGCTGTTAATCCTCCACTACACTTAAGGATGGAAAAACAGCAGTTTCCTGGTACTCTTATGGGTGTAAAATGTTGGTTTTCAGAATAGCTCCCAGTACACACATTCCCTGGCCAATGTCTACTCCAGTGAAAACTGATGGCTGCAGCCTGTCAGTTTTCCCAGAATTCCAGCATTATGAAGACATGTACAAAATTCTGCTGACTGTAAAATATATTGGCAGACAAGGTTCAATTTCAGTGAAAAGAATAAAGTGGGAGAGGGCTGCCCACTTACTGCATGTGTCATTCTTTAGTGTGCAAAATTATTACATGGCATCTCCTAAAAATTTGTTTCTGTCAGTGCAGCTTTCTGATCCAGTGATTATTTTTAATGGTCTGGTTGGATCATCACAAATACCCGGCACAGATGCACTGAAACCAGTTCATGCTGATTTAATTCCCAGTCAGTAAATTAAATCAGGGATTTATACCAGCAGGAATTAAATTGATACAAGAAAGAGCTGAGCTGATAGTGATGTGTGTGCAATAGATCTGCATTGCTTAATAGGCTGACAGCAGATTTCAAAGCTGCAATTTGTATCATTTGAGCAAGCTCTCCATGCTTCTTAGAAATTGTTTAAAATCGTAGCTGTAATCAAATAACAGCCCCACTTCAACAGAGGGAGGCTGATCTGAATTGATCAGAGCCTTAAATAGTTTTCAGTGTGTTTTGGTTTCCTAGTATTGACTGCAAGAGCTGTTACAGCTTGCAGGGACTTGTGGACTATGTGTCTGCAGAATTTAACTATTACAGCAAAGTCAGTCTCAAATAAGGGGGATGTGTCACTTTTCCTGGCCCAGTTTTCCCATTTCTTTCCTTATATGACATCAAGGCCGCTGGTGAGTCAGTTCAGCTAGCCAGCGTGGCAGAACATTTCTCTGGATGCCTTTGTTTTCCTGTTGCATTTTAACTGAAGCTCTTTGACATATCCAAGGATCTTAAGACCCAAAACAAAGGAGAGCAGGGGGTTTGAACTGCTCTTGCAAGATCATTTCAGCAGTCAGGCTAAAAATCCACTAAACTAAAATTTTGCACATCACATAGGGAATGCTTTTAGGGGCCCATCTGTAAAAGGAGGGAGGGAAGTTGGAAATCCTTGGCTCTGCTGGATAGATTTCCTTGGCCCTCTTCCTGCTTCACCGGCAGAGGGCATCTCTGTATAACATTATCTGCTCTGGGCCTTGCTGTTCTTTCCCCTTCATTTCTTCATTTATTCATTTATTTATTTATGTATTTATTTTGCAGGAACTCAATCATGACTTCAGCAAAAATTGGCTTAACTGTCTGCATGTGTCCCAGCTTGCTGTGTCATTTGACCTTTGCCAGATGTTGGAAAGCAGAGGGCTGGAGGGAGGAGACAGCTGGGCTTGGGCTCCAGAAGTGGAGAGGTCTGGGGGAGGATGTTGTGTGGTGTTTCTAGTCCCACAGTAAATCGAGGCACTGCTTTTAACCTTCAGCGCGTGTCTGTGTGTCCTGTGTGTCTCTGTACTGCTTTGAGTGGTTTTCTGTGAAAGAAGCAGCTTTTAGGCATGGAAAGCTCCCCTCTCCATGCAAGTTCTCCCAGGAAATTGCAGCTGTCCTTAGAAGCTGACTGCAACTGCTGCCTGAGGGTCACATCTCAGGAGAACTGTGCTTGAATGTCACTTAGATTCAGGGAATCGGCATCTTGGAAGTTGTTTTTCCATCACAGAACAAACAAACTTTCCATTTGGGATGCAAGTGCTGGGAAGAAGGGACTTCAGCAGCTCCTGTAAGTCAAGAATAAACAAGTGTCCTTTTGAGCTCGATGTGGCCTTGAGGCACAAGTGTGCAAAAGAGAATGCCTGAGCTGATGAGAAACCCAGAAGAGATGGAGGAAGGAGAAGGGTGTGGGCATAGCCAAGGTCTCTAATTTCCTGGCCCAGTGACCAGCTTTCTGGACTGTACTGCTGCTTTCATGTAAGTCAGGTTTTCAGCCCAGTGGAGGGATTGCATGTGTGTGTCCCAGTCTGCTGTCTGGTTTCACATGGGGGATGTCTCCCACACTTACCAGTGACACGGGGCTTGTTCTACAAAGAGGAAAAGCAACTAAAATTTGGAGGAAAAAGTTACTCTCTATTTTAGGGATTTTTTTTTTTTGCAACTAATTTAGATTAGTTTTGACATAATTGCAATTTATTCTTTGTTAGAGTAGTTTACTGCTTCAAAGTCCTTCTTCACCTTTGATCCAAGCATGATTAATTGCTGTAAATGGACTTGCAGGGGGCTGGAGAGGCACTTCAAGGAATGTGTTGCAGACACTTTTTATTACTGTTTAAATTAAGGGAAGCTGAAGGCTACAAGTGTAACATCATTGCTTTATTTTCTTGCCTTAAAGTCTCCCAGTTTGGCAGGAAATTTCCAGAGCCAAGACCCAGAACCACAACCTATTTCTGTTTCATGTCCATACACTCAGATGCCCAGTGTGACCCCTCCAGGGTCCTGGGGAGTGAGTGAATCCCTTTCTCTAGACTATCCTTGCTGCCCTGAGCTGGTGTTTGCCAAGCTCAGTTATTATTTATTGCTTTCATCCTCCTCCCAGCCTTGGCCAGTGCCCAGCAGAGCCAGTGGCTCAGCTCTGGTGGCTGGGGCAGGACGTGTGCTGGCAGCCTGGCGAGGAGCTGGGTGGCACAGTGGCCTTGGAGCCAGCAGTCCTGGTGGCACTTGCTGTCTGCCAGGCTGGCAGGGGCAGTGAGGGGTCCACACAGGACAGCTCCCACTCCATCTTGCTGAAACCAGGCTGCTCGTCCTTGGTGTCTGGGGTGCAGTTTATGCTGCCCACACTGCCCTGGCTGCTCTGCTCCCTCTTCCTTTCTCTGCTTTGTGTAAAGCCTGCTTATCTCTGAGGCAGGCAAGGAAAGGTTTCTGCCCACAGCCAGCCAGGAGTTCATGCAGATGCCTGAAGCTCCAGCACCCATCTGCAGGGCTGCAGTCTCCCAGCTCTCCCCTCCATTGTTCAGTGTGGGCAGAGGGCAGACTCTGCTTGCAGCTCTGGCCTGTTGAGTAATGACACCCTGTGACAGTGCTCACTTTGGAGTGTGGGCTGCATTTGGGCTGAATACAGCTGGGATAGGGAAGTTAGGGCAGGATGGTTGAGTCTGAACAGAGCTGCAGGCCTGCAGGGTGGCTGCCTGAGAGGTTTATGGCAAAGCTTTGGGAGAAAAAACAACTTCATAGACTAAAAGAATAAGAAAGTCATTACCTAAGCAGAGTTTCCTTGTTCCACCACTGCCCAACTGCACATCTTCATTTATCATATTAGCCTGAACTTGACTGCAGCTCATGGATCTCATGGAGAGGGACCCTGACAAGCCCATATGGATAACGTCACCACAATACTTTCCACAGGAAACAATATGCCAGACACTGAGGCTGTGAGGCTGTTTTCAGACAAGGAAATGCTCAGTTTGCAATGCAAACAGGAAAGGGTGGCACTTGGAAAAGGAGCTTTCCTATACCACAGACACCCAGACTGTGCAGGACATCCCAGTGACCTGCTGGAAGAGTGATGTGTCAGCAGGATGAGCAGCTGCTCAGGTCCGTGGTTCATTGCCATCCATGAATGTGTCCTCCCAGCTGCAGGGAGACTTCACTGCTGGTTTCTTTTTTCTTTTTGTTTAATTTCTTCAGTTCTGGTTTTTTCAGAGGGGTCTCAGCCCAGCTCCAGCTGAACTGTGAGAATCCACAAACTGCCTCTAGCTGCAGCACCAGTAAGAACTGGGCAAACCCTGAGGAGCTGGCTGTAAAAGTTCTTTTGTTTTCCCTGCCTCAAAATGATCTTTCCCCTTGACCCCTCTCCACAGTGTTTCCAGCAGACAACATTTGCTTTTCTCACCCATCTCTGTGTATTTGCAGCGTTGCTGCTGTGCTTCTGGGTGTCATTTTTCACCCAGTGTTACCTTGCCCCACATTTTAAACAAAAATCTAATTTAGGTGGAAAAGTCTACAGCCTCCAAAGCCCAGTCCTTTATCCACAAAAGAAAAGCCGTGGTTATCCTAGGGCTGCCTTAAGCACCACTGGCTTTTGGGCACTTTCTAATTACCTGATGACAGGCAGGGGATGATTTTAGCCAAAGGAGCAGTTGTACTCAGTCGAACCACCCAGTAAATGAGAGAATTTCCAAAATAGCACCACGGGCTGCAGAAAGCAGGCAAAGGATAGGAGATCCCCCTCAGTGCCTGCAAATGGGGATTCCTGGTGGCTTGGAGAGGTAAATTGCTGTGAAATTTCAGGGTGGGAAAGAAGGGTTCAGTTTGCAACAATCTCAGGAATTTCACAGGCGTGGCGTGTCTGGGTGTTAAGACACACGTGTTACATGGTTCCATGGGGGATTTATTACCAAAGGTGGGGATTTTCTAGTCTTACTGTGCTTTTAAATGTTTGCTGTAAGAAACAGCCCAGCCCAGGCTTCCACCTTCACTTTCCTGCCTGCTCCCAGCCCAGGCACGGCAGTGGCAGAGCTGGGAGGTGATGAACACCATGACTGATGGGCTGGTGGCAGGATCATACCCCCACACTTTTGGGGTCAACATCAGCAATGTTGCCCTGAGCAGCTGCTCTTTGAGCTAAAGCTGTGCAGCTGGACCTGGAGGTTGCCCTGGGCTGGGTGTTCAAAGTCAAAAGCATCACCTGAAGTGGTCAAACATCTCTGCAAATGATGTGGTCCCTCACAAGGAGTCCAAACTGGCTGGAAAAAGCTTGGTGGTCTCTCTGAGCTAAATGTGCTGGTGTTGAATCTTTTCAATAAGGTCTGCAAAGACCCAATCTACCTCAGCTGGGCTGAGGCCCCTCTGTGCTGGGTGATTTGCAGAACTGTCCCAATGCAGCACTGACAAGCAGAGCAACATCAAAGGCCTGGCTGGTTCCCAGCTCCCCTGTTGATACATGCAGATTCCCTGAGTGATTATCACAGGCAGCTTTCCACATTGCAGCTTCCAAAGCAGCAGAACACACAGGGACCTGACAGACTCCCCCTCCAAAACAGGAAAACACACGGGGTTCTGACAGACTCCCCCTCCAAGACTGTGGCAGCATAAATAGAAAAAAAAAAAAACACCCAACAAATCAAACAAACAAAAAACAGGCTTAATTAAGGACTTCAAGAGCAGGAAATGTGCACACGTGTGCTTGCCAGAGCACAAATATTTTCTTTTGGAGCTGCTTTCTCCAAGGGTTCAGTAAGGTGATGGAGGCTGGGTTACAGAGCAAGGGTAGCAAACAGTTCCCAGCCCCTCCGGAAGGCAGCGGCCACAGGGCACTGCTGTTCTGCATCCTTCCCCATGCTCCAGCCTTTGGCTTTGGGCTCCCACAGTATATACTGAAGCTATTCAACCATTTGGCTAAAAGCAGATGGGGAGGGAGAGAAAACAAAGTCAAATGAGAGGGAGAAAGGCAGCTTTTGTGCAGCCTCTGTTTGCAAAAGACAGCCCAAGCCCCTTTTGGACTAAGGTTTAATTTATTGGGCTCTGGAGAGCCGAGGTTCACAGCCCCACAGCTGCTGCAGGCAGTGGCACATGGGGGCAGAGGCAGGGAAGGGGTGGGAGCCAGCTCTGATAAGTGAGCAGCTCCCTCAGAGGGGCTGTGGGATGCACAGGACATGATGTGAG